AATGGGACCAGTGGATGATGTAATGGTTATGTCACTGGACTCCCACATAGTCAACCGTGGTTCAAGTCCCTGACCAGATGACTCATACTAGGCATGTGTGCCCAAAATCCCAAGAGGAGAGTGGAGAAGGGATTGCAGCATGGTCATCCCCTCTAGGGGGTGATTTCTTGCTTTCTGTCTGTCTCTCTCTGGCGAGTGCATGCACCTTATAGCAAAAATATCTAAAAAAAAAAAAAAAAAGTTAAACATAGGGACCAGCAGATGGGGTAGCAGTTATGTTACTGGACTCCCACATGGCCAACTGCAGTTCAAGTCCGGGACCTACATGGCTTGAAAATCATGCTGGGCACGTGTCTGTACATGCCCAAAACCCCAGGAGGAGAAGGGATTTGGGTATTTTTTCACTTTTCCTCTATTTCTCTCTCTCTCTCTCCCCATGTGAGTAGATGCATCCTAAGGCAGAGTCTCTTAAAAAAAAAAAAAAGAAGTTAAACATAAACTTACCATCTGACTCAGCAATTCCAGTCCAAGGCATCTACCCCAAAAACATGACAACATAGGCCTATTCCCAGAGACTTGCCCACAAACATTCTTATACAGCATTAATCATCATAGCCGCAAAAAAACCTGGAGCTATCCAAATGTGTATCAACTCATTAATGGATAGGCAAACCGTGGTATTGTCCCTACAACAGAAATTATTTGGCAATAAAAAGGGACAAGTCATATAAAAACATAAAGTCAGATTGTGGTGATAGCTGTGCAACTCTGTAAATCTTCTAAAATGGTTAAATTGTACACTTAAAATTAGTGACTTTTATGGTGTATAAATTATACTCCAATGATGCTGGATTTTTTCTTAAGTTTATTTGTTCCATGAGTGAGAAAAAGAGGATCAGAGACGGACAGCACCTCCAGCAGGCAGCCCTGGGTAGATTGCAGGCCGTGCCCATGCATGCTCAGGAAGGTCTCCAGATGCAAACCTTCCACCTTTACATGTGGATCAGCTCCAAGAGTGCGATGTGCCACCATCCACTATCTACCCCATCCTTTTTTTTTTTTTTCCTTTTTGGAGAGATTTTTGCTATAGGACGCGTGCGCTTGCCAGAAAGAGAGAGACAGAAAGACAGAAAGCGAGAAATCACCCCCCGGGGGGATGGCCACACTGCAATCCCTTCTCCTCCATTCTCCTCTCGGGATCTTGGGCACGCATGCACACACGCCTGGCATGAGTTTAAGTCACCGGGTCCGGGACTCAAACCGCAGTAGACTACGTGGAAGTCCATGGACATAGCCATTACGCTAACTGCTGGTCCCTCCCCAGCTGTTGTTTTTAATTACCGAGGGCATAGGCACTAACCAGAGAAGGACAGAAGGAGAAAAAGACCCCAGTGGGGCTCAGTCATGCCACAATCCTGTTTCCCCCATTTCTCCATCCTGTCAGGATTTTGAGCACGTAGCACATGCACCCAGCATGTTTCTCAAAACACCAGAGCTAGGATTTGAACTGTGGTTTGCCATGTGGGATTCAGGTCCTTTTAACCACTAGGTGGTGGGAGTGGCATATATCCCCTCTACAATCCAGGCAATCTATTTCTAGGCATTTATCCAAAAGAAATAAGTTGTCTATACAAAGTCTTACGCAAGGGATCTTTAGAGTTCATTGAAAAACTATCGTGAAAAAAAAGAAAAAAACATGGATTTCACATTTTCCCCCCAAATACTCATGCTTTAATTCCATTTTCCACAAACTTTTTGAAGTCCCCTTGAATACAAGTATTCATAGCACCTTTGTTCTAAATCCCAGTGTCCATGAAGAGGTGAATGGATAAACACATTGGGGTATATCTAAAGGTATCCAGGGAGACAGCAGGCGGTGTGGTGGTTAAGGCGCTGATTCCCACATGGCGAACCATGGTCTGAGTCCCAGGCTCAGTAGCTTGAAAATCGGCCTAGGCATGTGTGCATGCATGCCCAGAATCCCAAGAGGAGAATGGAGAAGGGAATTTGGCCTGGCCACCTCTTCCCCCTACTTCCCCCCGCCCCCCCCGCCCCCAGGAGAG